TGTGTGTGTGTGTTTGTGTCCACCTTTCCCTGTCTATCTCACAGACTGACCATCTCCCCTAACGACGCCCTACTCCTTGTGCGAGGCGCCAAAACTCTCCTGGTCTACCACCGCGGTCTGGAGAAGGTCATCGCGACTTTTGGCAAACCTGACGACATTCCTGACGAGTTCCGCCTGCCCCGCTCTCACTACGTGCCTATGGCCTTTGCGCATGCGCACTTCACGCACGACAGTAATTACGTCATTGGGACCATCTTCAGGTGAGAGCTGATATCATTTATAAGTAGCCAGGCTACACTGGTAAATGTCGAGTAGTCGTGTATATGTAGCCTGGTAAATGCCCTGTTGTTGTGTGCGTGTACCCAGGGTTTTCTTTTGATAAATGTCGTGTTGTCATCTACATGTAGCCCTGTAAATTTCGTCGGGGTAAATGTCGTTTGGTCATGTACGTGTACCCAGGGTCCTCCTCTGGCAATTGTCGTGTTGTGTACGTGTATCCCAGCTCCTCAGGTAAATGTCGTGTTATCATATACCTGCCTTCAGCTAAATGTCGTGTTATCATATACGTGCCTTCCGATAAATGTTGTGTTATCACATACGTACAGTCAGGTAAATGTCGAGCTATTATGTTCATGTAGCCTGGGTCCTCTGGTAAATGTCGTGTTATCGTGTACGTGTAGCCTGGTAAATGTGCCAACATATATACGTGCAGTCAAGTAAGTTCACTAGCTAGTTTGATTCTTCTCCCAACAACAAGTGTGATAAATAGCTGCAGTGATTGTCTTTTTGTCTATGTGTTCTTTTGTCAGATTACGGGTGCATGAGTGTTTGAAAGGATTCTGTAAGTTGAATGGGCCAATATGTGTGAAACTCGTCATCGTTTTAGCTGTTGGTTTTGTTTTGTTTTATCGTGAGTCGCCTGGGGCAAGTAGGTGGTGTGCGCACAAAAGTGATCGTTATTATCATCCCTGGATTGTTTGTTATCCTTATTCCTCCTCTCCCCCCTCTATCCCCCTCTCTCCCCTATCCCTCTTATCGCCCTCTCCCCCTCCCCTCCTCACCACCCCCCTCTTCCCCAACCCCCCACCCCCCTCCAGGACGGTGTACGTGTGGCAGATCTCCAACAGTTCCCTGGTCACCTCCATCCAGGCACCCATAGGTCTCATGTCCCAGGTGTTGGTGGCGGGGTCAAGGCCGCAGCTCATCACTCACATGGAGGGAAGTCTGCACGTGCAGGTGAGGGGGACATGGGGTGGTTAGGGTGGGGGGGGGTGAATGGGGAGACAGGGGAGGGGGAGATGATGGAGAGTACAATTTGGGGGTTGTTCATGTGTGTGGGTGGGTGGAGGGACGTTCGATATAGGTTTTGTCTATCTTATCTAATATCATCTTATCTTAACTTGTGTTATCTTATCTTATCTTATCTTATCTTATCTTATCTTATCCTATCTTGTCTTATCTTATCTTATATTGTCTTATCTTTTCTTATCTTATCTTATCCAGGTGTGGAATATCGGTGACGCCGTGCGGAAAGTGAACACTCCGGACAAACTGACGGACGCCATTAGTGAGTTCCAGGTGTCCGCAGACAACAACACAGCATTCATCAGGTGAGGGGGTTGTTGGGGC